CTCCTGGCACAGTTTGGGTACTCACTCGTCTGTGGTGAAGCAGACGAGGCGGCGGAAGATGCCCTTGGCTTTCTGAGCCTCCACAGCCTCCCGGCCCAGGAAGGGGATGCTGGACTTGAGCTTGCAGGTGAAAGCCAAGCCTGCCTCCAGCGGGGTGTCATCAGGGCGCAGGTCGGCGTGCCAGTGCCTGTACCCTGCAGGGAGCAAGCAGGGGATCCCTGTCACCCACCAGGACACCGAGACATCACCCCTGACCCCAGGACCCCCACTGCCTTGAGTAACACCCCTCGATATTGGGAAAGCCTCCCTGCAACACTGACCCACCCCTGAAACTGGGGAAAAGCTCTTTGTCCCGGTCCCCCCGCTGGAGGAAAATCAGAGAGAGCAGCTGGAAGGGGAACAAGGACCTTTCTCGATGCTGAGGCTGTCGATGGCTCTGTAGCCGGCGTTGGCGATGCCGTGCCGGGCTCCCGCCTGCATCACTGCCCGGTAAACCTTCACACAGTCGGCTCTGGGCACGTGCAGCTCCCAGCCCATCTCRCCCACGAACGACAGCCTCATGGCACGGACCTGCAGGGCAAGAGGGACAACATCTCTGGTAGAGCTGGGCTCTGCAGGACGGCAGGGGACAGGGGAACAGCCACCTCACCTGGTGGAAAGCAGCTCTGTGCCCTCCCTAGTGCACAAAGCCAGAAATTCAGCCAAATTCAGACTGAATTTCTCATCTCTGGACAAGCTAAGCCTGGCTCAGCTTGTCCTCAACCCTCAGCTACCCATCTGTGGAGGAYRAAASMYGACATTGCARCCTTGCAAGTTCTGAATGTGAAATTCAACCAATMATCGTGTACCCCTGAGATYTAGAAAAACAAAAGAGAGTCTTAAAGTCTAGGTAGAAGAAGACAAGACAGAAGAGAACATTATCAAAACAGCACAACTAAACAGCCTTGACYAACTGTAAGAAAAAGAAGAAAGAATTTTAAAGAAGAGCAAAGTYAGATAGGGCARATSCCAAAGACAGAACAAAACCGTGAGAATTAAYGACACYGCAGCTTTTGCAACGCACMAATCATATGTTAATGAATAGAAAATGAGCTGCTCATTAGCCAATAGACAGTTGCYATTTATACAAAAAACTTAGTATACACACTGTTACTAAATAAATAAAAAGAGYTCAACCCCACAATAAAGTGCTTTTTAGTCATTATTTGTATGGTGTTGTCCCTCTCTACTGTGACACCCATCCGGGTGTCAGCATCCTTCGCTTGCTGATTCCAGGGCTGGGGTTAGGAGTGATGCTCCAGCTCCAGCTGAGCTTTTGTCTCCCTCTGCTGATCCGTGGAGTCAGRGAAGCTGGTCCCCAGCAGGACTGTCCTGCTTTTTGGGGCCCTTGGTGCCTGCTGTCCCCAGGGATGGTCCCTTCTCGGGTGGTGCTCCCCCAGCAGAGGCACCCCAAGGCTCCCAAGCAGGCTGAGCCCTCTGTCCTGACCCACATCCTGCTTTTCCCGGGACATGCCCAGCTCTCCCCATGGAGGTGGTGTCCCAAAGCTGSTGCCACAGCAGCTCCACACCCAGTGCAAGAAGCTCCAGGAGGGATGAGCACGAGGGGATCAGTTCTTCCCCAGGGAAGCCGGGTTGCTGGGGATGGAGCCTGCCTGTCCTCGCAGGGAACAGCAGTGCTGGGGCTGCCCTGTGACCCCACAGCTTCTCAGGCTGCACCCTCCTGCTGTCCCTATGTCCTTTTCCATTCCCAAACCTTTCCAGCCCGATTGGGACCACCCCRACTCAGGCACCTTCCCTGGAGACAGCCCTCGAGTCTGAGCTGCCTTTCCCTCTGATTCATCCCATTGTGTTTCTCCAATTCCTCCCCCACAAAACCCCTCRGGCTCATCCCTTCGGGTGCACATCCACTGCAGACACAGAGCTCGCTCGGGGACAAGGATTAACTCCCGGGTTTCGCTCAGGATTGTGGCCTGGACTTTTAACAAAGCAGGTTCCAGCTCAGGGACACTTCCAGGCTGGTTCTGGTGGCCTTGGGRCTGGCCTGGCCATGGTTGGGACAGAAGCTGCATTTTGCTGTTTGCTGAGCTCTCACTCCAAGCAGAGCTGGTGCCAGCTGTGCTCTCTAATCCCGGGGACAAATGCAAACAGACACCAGCAGCTGCTGCCCAGAGCAGGCAGAAGTGCCCAAGGGCTGCCTGGGCACCCAAACCCATTCCTGCCTCCCCTAGCACAAACAAAAYATCCTCGAGCAGAGCTTAGGGCAGCCTGCAAGATGATTTAACCTTTGTTAAAGGGGTGAGGAGGAGGAAGGAACACRGAGGATGGGGAATTTGTTTTGAGGCTCCTGGTCCCGGCACAGCCCCGCAGTGAGGCACAAAGGCTGGCAATCAATCCCCCAGSAGCACAGGCACAAGGGGCTCAGGGAAGCTTTTTCCTCTTCACAAAGGTGTCATCTAATTAGGGAACAGGCAGAGATGAGGCTGCTGCAAGCCAGCTTCCATCTTCATTGCGGCAGGAGATGCTCCGGGGATTGACAGGCAACTTCCCGGCTCATTAACCCTGACTGCRACTGCAGCTAAAGTGTGATTTACTATCCAGAGCAAGTTACTCCTGGGAGAAACTTCCTCTCAAACCACCAGGGCTCCGGGGGGGAGCAGTGAGGCAGAGCAGTGCCCCACAGAAAGCAGGAATCCTTGGGAAATCGGGGTGCCAGCTCTGCATGGGCAGGGTGTGGGGTTGCCCCCAGGTCTGTGTGCCCCAGCAGGATTCACATCCCACCTCAGCAGGGAATGCCAAGGGGCTCAGCAGYTCCTGGGGCTTCCTGCTGGATTCCCATGGGGACAGGGCTTCCAGCTGGAGCTGTGAAATAGAGTCAGTTCCTGGGTTTTTGTGCAGCTATTCAAAAGCWTTCCAAGTACTGTGGAAAATGAAAACCTGAACTTTCCCCTGTCTCCAGCAGTGAGATTCAAAGGGGAACCTTTCACTGCTGTTCCATACAATGAGAGACTCTATATATAAACTCACAAACCAATCCATAATTTCCAGAGCCATTAACTCTGCTGGAACTCTCCTTTGACTCCAGCTGATTTTGTTCAACTACTGAGTTAATGCAGGAAAATCTCAGCGATAACTTTTTTAAGATGCTGGGTTCGGTTTAATCCCCCTGGAAGGCGATAATATCAGCCAAGGCTTCAGCCTGAGAAACCCTCCCACTCCAATTCTGGTGTGGGATGGACTCCCTGGTGTTCACTGTCCAGAAAGGACCAAAGGAGACCTCCTGAAMGGAGCCACATCCCTCAGGCAGGAAGGCTTTTTTCTGTCCATCAGGGAGTTTACCCTCAAAAGATTTCTCAACATTTCTTCCAGCTCTGTCTCTCTTGAAAGACTGGATTATTTTTTTTTTTACAAACTTGAAGTGAAACGCAAATAAACCCATCACACCCRTGGAGACAGGAACATTTCTACACCTTTCCCAGGGGATCAGCAGATTATTACAAGATGATATGAGTTTGCTAAAGGCTGACAAGGGAGGATGTGGGGAGGATTAACGGAGGCTAAAATTCAACATTTTGGACAATCTGCACCAGTGGATTGGCTCTGAAGTCCCCCAAGCTGTGGTTCCCCTCCAAGGGGCAGTGAGGAGAGGGAGAAGTGTGGGTTGAGTTTTTGGGCACCCAAAGCCTAGGGTGCACTCGTGGAGATGATTTAGAGATTAATCTGAACCTGGGCAAAACCTGTGCTTTAGTTCAACCACCTCAGAGCCCGGCCAGGCTCCTGCTCACAAATCAAGACGCTCTAATTTGATTTAGCAGCAATCCCTTCAGCAGGCAGCTGCAGCCGAATTAAAGCCATTTTAATTCTGAATGAAAAGTGGCCGCACGTGGCTTAACCCAATTTCCTTCACATCCAGCCTGCTGCAGATCCCGTCTCTCCTGCTGCCTTTTATGAGATTTACTGCTTCACCTTCACCTCCTTCATCCCCCACCAGGCACAGACCGAGAGCAGAGTGAGTCCTTGGCATGGTCCCTCCTCCCAGGAGCTCATCCAGGGGGAGAGGGATGCTCTGGGATCACAGCCTGCCCAGGTTTCTTATGGGAAGGATRAGGTTCAAACTCCACCCTCTCTTCCAAAAGGTTTTTGCAACTGTWGGAATATTTCATATGGGATAAACATCACTGAGAAACCAAGGCAGAGTTTGTTGGGAAAACCCAGCAAAAGGTTTTCCCCGAAAGCCGAACTTGCTAGCAGCAGGTTTTCCCAGGACATTTGTCCTTTGAGAAAACAACACTTTATGGTCACTGACTCTTCTGTTTAGGGTGTTTCAATCAGCAGCTTCAGGGCATACGTGAGCCCCGAAGCCTGGGCAGAAGYGGGATGAGCTGTGCCTGTACAGGARGCTTAGGGCTGTCAGGCTTCTCCTGTGATCAAACACAGCGGCTCCCAGGCTGCCCAGRCCTTGCTGCCAGTACCTGACAAGATTTGCATTAAAATGTCCCCGTTTTTTTATGAGGGGGGGAAATGGAAAGTGTCTGGAGTGTCAGGGAGATCTCATCAGCAGTGCTCACCCTAATCCATGGAGGCGTCTGTCATCACTGCAAAGCCCTGAGTCACCCTGTCCCTTCCCCAGGGCTGTGACACCTCTGGGAGGGCTGGAAGGGAGGCAGGGAGGGAGAAAAGCACCCTGTTCCCACTCTGGGTTTTGGCTTTTTCCAACAAAAACCACAACAAAACCTCTCTACAGTAAACATCCCTAACAGAGGGAGAGTGGCACAGGGTGCCCAGAGAAGTGGTGGCTGCCCCTGGAAGYRTCCAARGCCAGGCTGGAYRGGGCTTGSAGCASCCTGGGAYAGTGGAAGGTGTCCCTGCCCATGGCAGGSGGWTGGAATGAGAYGATTTTTCATGTCCCTTCCAACCCAAACYGGTCTGGCATTCTATGCCTGGCTGTGCAGGCTGTTGGGTGCTCTCCCCTGAGCCCAGAGCTCCCCTCCCTACCTKGCATCCTGCAGCCGTGGTGATTTGGTGTGTGGAGAAGGGAAAGGCCTCGTTGCTGAGGTCGGTGTCGAGCACTTCTTGGAGGACAACACGGCTGTGGGGACAGGGACAGCACTCAGATGCCAGACTGCCCTGAGGGTTATCCCTAAAACTTTGTCCCTCATCTTGATGACAGGACAGACTCCTCACTGCAAAGAGGAGCTGAGGTGGCTGATGTGCAGTGCTGTGGGAGCCTCAAAAGAAATTCCAGTTCCATGGAAAAATGGAGAGTTACAGCCAGATCAGCCTTTGGTTCAACCATTCACACCAACCCTTGCCCAGCATGGGCACTTGAGGCAACCTCCTCCATCCCTGAATGCTTCCCTGCATCCCTGCATCCCTGAATCCTTCCCTCCATCCCTGAATCCTTCCCTGCATCCTTCCCTCTGTCCTTGCATCTCTCCCTCCATCTCTCCCTCCATCCCTGCATCACTCCCTGCATCCTTCCCTCCATTCCTGCATCCCTGCATCTCTCCCTGCATCCCTCCCTCCACCCCTCCCTCCATTTCTCCCTCCACCCCTGAAACCCTCCCTTCACCGCTCCCTCCATCCCTGCATCCCTCCCTCCATCCCTCCATCCCTCTCTCCATCCCTGCATCCCTCCCTCCTCCTCTCCAGGGTCATGTTGCAGGGAAGGGGCTGCACCACTCACCTCAGAGGGCCCTGGATGCTCATCATGCCCAGCTCCTCAGAGCAGTCAAGGAGCTGGCACTGGAATTTCATGTCCTGCAGCACGGTGGTGATGTGGGACCAGTTGTGCTGGGCCACAGCCCCGCCGATAGCCAGGTAGTAGCCATCCCCTGGAAAAMAAWMCCCSSGRRGMSYYT